AAGTTGTTGAAAAATGCATATATAAACATATGATGTCATTTCTATGTAAATTCAATATTATGTCAAATCACCAGCATGGGTTTCTTCCTGACAGGTCAACAGAAAGTGCAACAACAGGCTTTTTCAATTATGTCCATGAACAACTTGATAAAAAGCGGTATGTGAGTGCACTATTTTTCGACCTGTCTAAAGCATTTGATTGCATAGATATATCAATTATAGAAAATAAACTCTATGCACTGGGTTTTAGGGGAAATTTTTTAAACTGGTTATCCTCCTATCTTAATATGAGGAAAATATGTGTGAACATTGAGAACAGCATGTCTGAATTCAAAGATGTTGAGCAAGGTGTTCCTCAAGGGTCCATTTTAGGACCTCTAATATTCCTGTTATATGTGAATGACCTCCCTTTACATACAAACGCTGATTATACCATACTGTATGCTGATGACACCACTCTGGCAGCAGATGCTGAATCATCCACCGAACTTGTCCATAAGCTCAATCTATTAGCTGGAAAATTCACTATGTGGTGCAGAAAAAACTCTCTGATAGTAAACTCTACTAAGACTGTGGTCATGCAGTTCTCTTCAAGGAACAAATTAACAAATAACTTCACTGTGAAAGTAGAAAGAGAGGATATCCTTCCATCCGTTGTAACGAAATTTCTAGGTGTAATGCTTGACAGTAATGTAAGTTGGGCCTCAAACATCGACTTTGTGTGTAAAAAAATAAACTATGCATACTATGCTATACTACAACTCAAGACTGTATTCAATATCAAACAACTTCTCCTAGTCTACTATTCACTTGTATACTCTCATCTATCATATAATATTGTTCTGTGGGGTAAAGTACCAAATGTGAAAAGAGTTTTTATTGCACAGAAACGAATCATCAGATTGATTTTCAATCTAAATTTCAAGCAAACCTGTAGGGAACATTTTAAACAGCATGAAATATTAACATTGCCGTCGATATATATCTACAAATGCATTTTATATGCAAAAAGCAATTCATCGGAATTCTCTAAAAACCATGACTTCCATAATTACTCTACAAGATATGGTGATAAATTCTGTGTCCTTAAACACTCAACATCTCTCTATCAGCTCAGTCCACACTATAATGGAATAAGTTTTTTCAATCATCTCCCATCATCCTTCAAATCGAAGATCATAATCTTTTTAAAAGATGTCTCAAAACATTTTTAGTAGAGAAGTGTGTGTATGACATATTTACTGATTTTATGTGATAATGTGTTTTTTGTAATAATTATACTAGCAGTTTTATATATATTTTTCGTTTTACCCCTGACATGTCTTATATCAACTATATGTATGATCAAGAAAGATGAATAAATTTATTATTATTATTATTATTATAAATCGGTTTAGTTTTTGCAATTCGCTGAAACATTCGAAAGTTATTTAATTTTTTCTAAACTTAATGCGTTTACAGGCACTCATTTGAAAAATTGCAAGGCAATTGGTTTTCAGAATATCATGTTAGAACTTTGCTAATGTTTAGACAAGTGAATTGGGTATCTTTTGGGAGGAAAACCGTATATTGTCATTGTGACATCACCTTGCTATGACACATTGATTTTGGTTAACTTTGAAAGATCCTCTTCCGAAAAATAATCTCATTGACTAATCTGATAGTGCAATGGAAAATAATAAATTCTGACAGTAAACGGCAATATAGCGGCTATGAACGTAGCATTCAATGTTTGACAGGAAATCATCATTATGTAATGTTCCACAAATGATCCTATTTTACCGGAAATATTCGGAGATTGATACGACCGCTTGTTGCCTAATAATTTCGCGAAAGACATTGTTCATCAAAACTTTCGAGCCGTGGACGAGAAGTTTTGAATCAATGCCATTCGCGAAATTGAAGCAGCAAGCTGCAGTATGTCAATCGACGATATTTCCAGGAAAAATAGCATCACGCGTTGTATGCACTGCACCATCATTCTGGCTTCCAACATAATTGACGTAATAAACGTCAAAAATTTGATCGCTGAAAAACGCGATTGGTTGCTCACGTGTGGGTCAATTCGGCTTCTGCATAGGTAGAGCAAGTCTGATAAATTTTAGTAAACAAAAAATATCACTGGAATACAGGAAGGTCTGTGAGAATGGTTGATTCTGATTGGTTCTTAAAAACAAGAGTGGAAAAGTCAAGTAAAAATTATTGAAGAAGCTCAAAATCTTGGTTGATTCTGATTGGTTCTTAAGAACAAGAGTGTTAAAGTCAAGTAAAAATTATTAAAGAAGCTCAAAATCTTGCTCAAAATGTTGTAACAAGAAATTGAATAATTATTAATTGAGGAACAAGTCGATAGCGATAACATCTTTACAAAAACTGTTCAAGATGACGGCCCTTTCGCAATACATTCATCAATTCTTCCAAGAAATGAGTTATTCACTGCTTCTAATGTGGCATTATTGATGTAGCGGATCTGATTCTCTCTTGCAAATTTTCCTTGCTAGTTACTTCAGCTTCATACAACCGATTGTGAACATATCTTCAAAGAAAAAAAAACGGTTTTCTTCAATAATCAGGTTTTGCACCAGGTTGCCTATTTCATCATGATTTCAACACTGAGGCACAAAATATTCAACAATCAGATATACCAGGTGAGTTCACAAGGTGACTCACCCCTATAACTATTTCATTATTGAATGTAGTGCAACGGAATTTGGGGGTGGTGAATTATATTTCAATTGACATTTTTGACATATCTACTTGCTTTGCCGTATTTCCGGTTAGACCGAAAATGACCCCAGTTTTAATTTTTAAATGGGACACCCTGTATTTTATTCCATTATCGGTCAGGGTATTCAACGCGAGATTCAAGGATACCGGGTTTGATAGGGATATTTTGCACGATTACGAAGATATTTGCATTCGAAATTTCCATGAGCTCAATGAGTGTGACAGAGAAAGAATATTATGAAATAAAATACAGGGGTCCCATTCAATCAAAGATAGAAAGTTGGGGTCATTTCCGGACCAACCGGAAGCACGGCAAGTAGATATATCAGAAACGGTCAATTGAACTATAATTCACGACCCCAATATTTCGTTTTACTACATTCAATAATAAAAAAGTTATAGGGGTGAGCCACCTTGAAAAATCACCCGGTATACGTCGGGACCTTGGATAATAATTATTATAATAATCCGTCACTTGAGACACGTGAATCTCGATTTTTTAGTTGATGAAATGAAAAAAACGAGCATTTAACCTGAACTCAACAGCTCAGCATTTCAAAGGCGCAAATTCATTACTGCATGGGAGGTTTAGTCTATCCAAAGTTAGTTGGAGCGTTAGTCACTTGTTTGATGAATTGATTTCATCATACATTGCGTGGAAAAAAATGTTGAATTGAAAAACCCCAATCTGTGAATGTCTACCACGTGCACGGAATTCAAACGAACTTCAAAAGAAGCGAAACCGCATTGGGTACCTATATGGTTTTTCTCAAGGTGCTCCAACTGACTTTGGATCAACTATACCCTTCAGATTTTTAGCATTTCAGTACTTGTCTATGAATGACATTAACGTTTTAGTCTTCTGCACAACCATAATTCCGATGCCACGATTCGGCTGTTGTCAGATTCGATATGGATAAAAAAATTTAGTGGCAAAACTTAACTGGTTCTTAGAGGATTGAACTGTGCTTTGAGGTTTGTTGTGAGATGACATGATTGATATGACTCAGTTATGAAATACATGGAGTGCCATTGAAAAAAAATCATGTTTTGGCCCCTCAAAGTTTACCAAAATCAATTTGTCAGCAAGGTGATATTACAATAAAAATTTCATAAATTTGTTTTGAACCAATTAGAAGGCTTCTTTTTGATTACGTTGCAATCAGCAAACGGTGACTATTGTGCTAATTTTGTTGGGTCCTTTATATATTTTCGTCACACACTAGTTTAAATTCAACCAACATTCACCAATTTTCACCACTATTTATTGACTATAAGAGCTGTGGACCCAATTAGTAGGTGGCTATGAAAAAAAAACCTGAACAGAAGGTTTTATAATTCTTATCACCTGTGTACCTGTTGAAATTTACGATTATTTTATACATTGGCATAAAAGAAGCCAGGATATCAAAACTACGAAAAATGCGATATGATTGGGATATAAGTTGGTTTTTAAATTTTCGTAGTTTTGATATCATGGATTATTATTCGCCAAGCTATGAAAAATTTGTGAACTTTGACAGGTAGTCAAATGACAAAAAATATTAAACATTCTGCATTTGTTTTTTGTTTCCATAGCCACAAACTAATTAGGTCCACAGTTTTTATAGTAAATAAATAGTGCTGAATATTGGTAAATGTTGAATCTTGTTGAAATTGAAACAAGTGTGTTATTTAACACACACAACATAAATATGGAAATTTATAAAACTGCAAATAATCTAAATATAATGCTAAAGTCTTATATATTATTTGAAAGCACAAAGCATCAATGTTTTGAATATGAAATAATATTCAAGGTATTCAATTTTAAAAAACTTTATGTTATATCTAAATTAATAGAAGCATATTCTGAAAATCTGGTTAAGTCAGTGGAAAATGTGAAAAGATGTATGAGACAGTTTTGACTTTTTCTATAAGTTGAAAGATAGCTGAGATACAGGGGGGTCTCAAAATGCAGCTTTTTCATTTCCGCCGTGTATCTCAAAAATTAAGCGGGCTACGAACATTTTGTTTGTGGTATCATAAGCTTTACAAAAGAGTAGCCAACGTTTGCTAAAATCACAATCTCTGTCTTCAAAAATAAGTGCGATTTCTCGTAGGTACATCGAAAATGGGCCAGCCTGTACATCCTATTATGTACACCTCAAACTTAGAACTTTTTGCAACCAGTTGGCTGTGGAAGCATCAACTCCCTTTCTATTCACCCTCTTATTTATTAAATTGTTATAATTATACCAATAACTTTGGAATTCGTGGAAATCAATACATACCTCCCTGTTTACGAGTAGTATTGATCCATGCTAAGTGCGAGAAATGGCTATCGGTGGAGCAAGCGATCACAGCTGTGTTGATTTTCTTGAATTCCTCAAACCGGTCGGAGAAGGCGATTATTTCAGTGGGACACACAAATGTGAAGTCCAAGGGGTAGAAGAAGATCACAACATATTGACCTTTGTAGTCCTCTAGGGAGATTTCCTTGAACATGCCATCAACTACGGCAGTTCCCTTGAAAGTCGGGGCAGGTTTTTGGAGAGACGGAACTGGCATTGTTTTGCTATAACATGTTGAAGAATAAATATAACTGGAATAAGCTCTAGTCCTAATATCTTTGTACTAGATATGATTGATTAAGTTGTTTTTTTATCAAATTGAATTCTCCCTTAGTTAGAAAAAACAAATGAATGAGAACAACTTCAAATTTACTGGAAATTGGATTGAATGGGTGTCGGTCAGGTAACTCATTTTATGACGTCATCATATTACGCCACATACCGAATAGCGCACTCAAGAATACCAACCACCCTACAGAATTCTTCAAATAATCATTCAACGAGAAAATGTTCAAGAGATTTCTACGATAAAAGATCTGAAATTCATGTCGATACATGCCCCCGATAAAAATTAACTGTGCATCTTGTGCAACAAGTTAGTCTTCGTAGTGGATCGCTCATACATGTCTGAGAAATGAACGTCACATTGGAAGATTATCGCCGTTCGGCTATTCGACAATTAGGTAATCCAATGTACTGTCAAAGTATGCGCTGGTTGGCACACAATCAAATTATTTATGTGTGATAAATCGACTTTATACGCGAATTCCTGTTGGTATCAGAAGTACAAGTCATATAATCACAGAAAATCACAAACAGTAACTATTTAATTGTTCTAGTAACATCATTCTATCGGTTTTATATAAGGTGCCAACCTTGGGCCATATTGATTCTAATCTGAGTTGGATTGCCTAATTTCAAAATAATTCGGGTTTCATCCAGGCAACTTCCTACCATAAATATGAGATATCAAAGTACTATTTGACATATTGTTGGTTTATAAAATCCTGAGAGATCAGTGTGATACATAGTTCATTTGTTATCGTTTGTTATCTTTTATTTCACTACACATACCCTTTAGACTCTTGCCACACAAGAGGATATTTTTCAATATAAATTTTAGTCACAATTCGAGACCAAACTCGTCAAAGTAGGTTGAACGATTGCCTGATCCAGGAGTTCAACATTTATTAGTGGATGAAAATACCACAAAGATGTATCACCCGAGGGGTGGATCACTTGAGGAAAATTTGTACACGTATTAAAAATACTCTCGATTTAGGAGTATTTATCGTATTTAAATCTATTTAAGATAGTATTTAGTGTATTTATGTAAATATTATTGTATTTAAGATATTTAAAGGTTATTAACAGTATTTAAATATATTTATGCCTAGTTGAAAGTATTTGACCGTATTTAAAATTATTTGAGCGTATTTAAATGTATTTATTGAAAAAATGTTGTCTCAGTATACCAAATAAATTGTATTACCTTGTTGGACACTTCATCAACGTAGAGACAAAACCGCTGATGCTACGATTGTGAAAATTGAAAATAGGTTATCTTTTGTTATATAGGCAAATTTTCACTATGAAGGGGTAAAATGGGTTTTTTTTAGTTAAAATATTTTGAAATATTTTTATGAAAATAAATACACACCGAACTTAAAAATCCACCCTTGAAAGTAGTCTAAAAACATAAAATGGATGTTTGATGTTTGTATGGTTAAAAATTAGGTAGATGCACTCATTACATTCGCACGAGTATTCGTCCTCTATCTATACCACAGAATATTACCTCGGAGACTGAAGTACCTACATACCTACGTTTGAAAATAATTATGACGAATTGGTCGAAAATTAGGTAATTTTCACTTATAATATCACGAGAGCTTCAATTATTTCCAGAAATTTTTTCGAGAACACGAATATTTTGAAAATTCTCCCGAGACGGAGACGAGAACACGAATTTTCAAAATATTCATGTTCGAGAAAAAATTCCCGGATATTAATTGAAGCTAAAGTGGTATTCGGTAAGAAATTATTTATTTATTGACTCATAGAATCAACTCGAAAAAATCTGAAGTTGAATATAAATGTCATTTAACCTATAAACGTAAAAAAAAAATCCTGTGTAATTTCATGCTCCGTCCCCCAAGGAGGAGGAAATAATTTTCAACAAATTTGTTCAGTTGCTTTGGTAACGATAGGAAATACAGGCTTCAAATTGATCGAAAATGTTGACTTACTTGAATTATGAACAAAACCACACAGTAACATGTAAGATCTTGTTTAAATATTTCACACCTGATTTCGCAGATTCTGGACCGTGTCTGAGCCGTGCTTTGAATTATACTGTAACGCGCATGCTTCATAACTATTTAAAACTATCTAAACATATTTAAATCTACCTTATTGTATTTAATTGTATCTGGGGTATTTAAGACTATCTGAATATATTTAAATCTATCTAATTGTATTTAATTATATTTAAGTGTATATAAGGTAATTAAAAATATTTAAATATATCTTGAATGTATTCAATGTATTTAAAGGGTATTTATAAATACTTTCTACAAAAATGTACACGTATTTGAAGGAATTCAAATATATTTAATTATATCTAGGGGTATCTAAAACTATCTAAATATATTTAAATCTATCTTATTGTATTTAATTATATTTAAGTGTATCTAATGTAATTAAAAATATTTAAATGTATCTTGAATGTATTCAAGGTATTTAAAGGGTATTTATAAATACTTTTTATAAAAATGTACACGTATTTATGGAAGTGATCCACCCCTCGGTATCACCTACTAAATCAATACAAACTTATACGAGCGTTTTGTTTCATTCCGCCACAAACAAGAAAACTGTCGGTAGGCTACTTTAATGTATGTACCTATGAAAAACAAATATGTTACCGAGTATGTTACTTATGGTTCATTAACACTTCAAATTCCCAGACCCGGTGGCGTAATAAATAAAAAGCGGCATGAGGCTTGCGCATGGGGGGCCCCAGCAAAGCGAGGACCTCGGAATCGTTAGATAATTCCTCCTCAAAAAAAAAATTACATTTTTATCATCTGAACAACAATATGATAATTCATTAATCCAATTTTTTTCGGATTTTCTATCCTCGTTTCTAGAAACGAGGAGAAAATCCCAAAAAATTTGGAATAATGAATGTACCACCTCCTCGATTAACCAACAGACAGTATTTAATATGATAATTGTTGGCAGATTTTAATATATGCTAAAACCTATCTTTGTAATCGTTATTGATTGACTACCGTCTTTGATGTTGATAAAAAATAGTTATTTATACACCAAGGTACTAAAGAATATCATTATTACCCAGGGACCAAGATTATATCCCGAGGCTTCAGCCCATAAAGTAGCCAAAAGTTTAGGAAACATTATCGTCAAAACTACTAGTCCGATTCGGACGTTTTCTGTTTTGAATGACAGGTTATCTCCTCCTGAACATTGGTGTTCAAACTATATTCGCATAATAACCTCTTTTTTATAAATACCACGTGTAGCTATTATAGCGTGTTTTTTTTCATGAAATTTGAAATATCCTGGAGTGTAAAAGTTACCTCATCAAGTTGATTACACTTCAGCCTCATCTTTTATCAACATTACTTGCTTGGATTCACTCCATTATCTTTCCTATTATTCGAGGAACAGAATGCGAAGTCACAAGTTAAACGAAAGGGTCAGTAGCGAGTATTTCCGCCGCAGGCACGAAACACTTCTTGGCAAAGACGGTCTATACCGTTACCATCGATATCTCGATGGTAACGCCTATACCCAAAATAAGAGACCTAATGTCATGTTTGTCCAGGTCTTCCCAAATTTGAATCATCAGTCTCTACCATGCGTTTTCCAAAGTATTCAAGAATGTCCCAGAGATTCTCAATGGGATTTCAATCCGGGCTCCAAGCTGGCCATGTCATAGTAGCGATACTGGCTTCCTCGAGATAATTTCTCATAACTCGCGCGACGTGCGGCCTGCATCAACATAAAATCCTTACACTATATGTGGTTCTAAAATCACCGATATGTACCTTTCAGCTGCAAGACTTTTATTAATATTCACAAGCTCCATGCGACCAGTCAAAGAAATGCCTTCCTAGACCATAGCCTTCTACTTTCGTGCTCATAATGCCAATTGAATTCAATAAAATCATGTTATGCTATAAAAATGTGTTTCTGGAGAAATAGGAAAGATAATGGAGTGAATCCAAGAAAGTAATATTGAAAAAAGATAAGGCTGAAGTGTCATTTCAATACAGTTTGCAGACCAATGTTCAGAAGGATATAACCTGTCATTCAGAACAAAAAACGTTCAAATCAGACGAGTGGTTTTTGCGAAAACGTTTCCTAAACTTTCGACTACTTTTTGGTGGTGCGTTATATTCTTGAAGAAGTGAAGTAAAGGAAAAAAAGTGGATGGGCCTATGGGCCTGGCCTATCCAGAATGAGAGTGCATTACTTTTAAAAACAAGGTTGTACTTGTTGTATGATCCATTATCGATGCTCTCGATATTTCCAACGAATTAAATCTGATTGAATCCATCGTTTTTTATAAAAAAATGAGTGTCTATCATAAAGAGTAAGCCCTCAGTAGGGTGTCTCCAGATCAGGTTGCGCTTTCTTCAGATCAGGTTGCGCCTGATGCACCACAAAATCGAGATCCGTCACTGTTCAGATCAATATTTGATGTAAACCATACGGTAGGAAAAAGATATTTATTACATTATTTTTCAAGATGCAAAAGTGACAAGATACAAAAATCTATCAAGGTTTCAGTGAGGCTGTGTATCAGACAAACAGAAAATTCAATAATAGCATTAACCGTTACGACTAAATATGGTGAAAATTACTTTAGCGTTGACCATAAAGTCCTCCACCGCGCTCAAGTGCCACTTTACGCCAGCTGGTACAATATAGAATATTACTTAAAGCCTTAGTTTATATACAGGCTTATTGGTATGCTATTTATTTATTTATTCGTTGTAATCTACAGAATAAAAAAATACCAATAAATGATTACATTCAGTACGAATTTACTATATACATATGTAATGATATGCTAGCCTATATCTAGTAAAGTGCCCCAAATGATTTAATTCAAATATTCATCCTGTATTTAAAAATTTGATTCCGAAATATATTTATTAAAAAGTATTATAGGTATGTATTAAAGGAAAAA